GCTTTATTAAAGTCCCCGAGAATGATTAAAACAGAGTCCAGGTGTTGTTGTTCTGTCTCTGTGTTCAGATCAGCGAGTTTCTGTAAAGCTGAGCTCACGTGCGCTTGCGGAGGAATGTAAATACTCACTAGAATGAACGAGTGAAACTCCCGCGGCGAATAGAACGGCTTACAGTTAATGAAAAGCGCTTCTAGATCGGAACAGCACATCTTCTTTAACGCTGTAACATCTGTACACCACCTTTGGTTGATGTAAAAACATGTCCCGCCGCGGCGCGATTTCCCCGTTGATTCTGTGTCGCGGTCTGCTCTGAACTGCTGAAAGCCCAGGAGACTCAACGCGCTGTCCGGAATGGCGTCATTCAGCCAGGTTTCCGTGAAACACAGAGCAGCAGAGTGTGAAAAATTCTTATTTGTCCGGGAGAGCAGAAGAAGGTCGTCTGTTTTATGAAGAAGTTCATCCGTTTTGTTGGGTAGAGAGCGGAGATTTGCCAGATGGATGCTCGGCAACGGCGTTCTGAATCCGCGCTTCCTGAGCTTCACGAGCGCGCCGGCTCTCTTCCCCCGTCTGCGCGTCCTGAAGCGCTTGATCAGCGCAGCAGCTCCGCCGACTACAACGTTCAGCAAAACGTCCGAATAAACGAAATCCGGTAGAAGATTGTGTGGTGTGTTCTGCCGAATGTTCAGCAGCTCTTCCCTGGTAAAACTGATCGTGTTTGAGAAACAAAAAAACGGGAAAAACTAACAAAAACAGTACAAACACTGGAGAGCCAAACACTGAGGCTGCCGTCTGCGGTGCCATCGCATCGATATAATAGTCATGGCATTAAATGTTGGAGAATGACTTCTTCTGTATTTCTTGTTTTCCAGTACAATTATCTAAACATCCTTGAATCAGGATACATTTACTTGAAATCCAAATGTGAAACGAAGTCTTGAATTTTCATTGACTTGAACGAAGTGAGTTCATGCTTAAAACAAGAGCAAATATCTCTCACTGGTGAATGAAAACATGTTTTCCCTTTGAATTAAGTAGATTTTTCTGAGCTTGTTCTTGTTTTAATCATAGACATCCTTTTGATCAAATTCCCAGAAAATGAGACTTGTAATTTTAAGATCTATTTACATGAGAAGTGAAGTGACATGAGGATTGTTTGTTTTGATGTTCTCAGGCTACAGACACCTGTTTCAGCCGGTTATCAAGCAGGTGGTGGACTTCTATCAGCCCACCTGCGTCGTTCTCCAGGTGCGATCACGCTCTCAGACGGTCTGGATCTGCTGGGGTTTTGTTGCTCATCTCTGTGCTCTGTCTGCAGTGTGGAGCTGATTCTCTGGGCTGTGATCGATTAGGATGCTTCAATCTCAGCATACGCGGACATGGGTAAAAAAAAAAAAAACGACTCCATAATCTAACACAGTCATCTTTTCTTCACCTGCACGCAGTATTTTGAAACCCTTGCTAATCTTGTTTAAACACTTGTACTTGTAGAGATTGTGTGGAGTTTGTGAAGAGCTTCAAAATCCCGCTGCTTGTTCTGGGTGGAGGAGGATACACTGTGAGGAACGTTGCTAGATGCTGGTATGTTTATCATTTCACTGCTCAGTTCACTATAAATCATCAGAAGAGGAAGTAGTTGTATAATAAAGGAAACTTCTTTAAAGGGGTCATATCACACATTTTTTGCTTCTCTGAGGTCCAATTACAATGTTATTTTTTCACCAGAGTCTTGATGTGAAATGAGCAACAGTACAGTTCTGTCACTGACAAATAGGCTTTGGTTTTGTTGTCATGTAGTTACATTTTTAATAATGATAGCCTCTTTGCAAAGTCTGAATTACCAAAATGAAAATGCATTGCCTTTGGCAAAACATTTTATTAGATCCAGTTAAACTTGTATCTTTGCATCACTTGCCACTTTCTAGCAGCTTCCTGTTTAAACAGTGATATGACAAATCTTTACTGTAATATAAGTTATTTTCAACCACAGCAAGGAACAATATTAATACATTGAGAATCACTTACTCTCACTTAGAACTAAAAACTTGTTTGTAATGTTGGTGCATCACTAATTAAAAACAGTAAACCAGTTTGCACTGCAATGTAGCATTACAACTGTTCTATTCAAACGTTGGGATTTGCTCATTATCCTATGATTTCTCTTACTTCCTCCTCATTATCTCGCCTCTATCGAGTCTCTGATCGTGTTCATTTAGGAGGTCATATATGTTAAGACTTTGGGTTTCTAAGCTGTTTTGGCTGTAAGTGCTACACTTCTATCTTTGACTCTTTCTGATATGTTCATTAATGTATCATATATTTGTTTTTTAGGACATATGAAACATCTTTGCTAGTTGAGGAGTCCATTAGTGATGAGCTGCCATATAGTGGTAAGACAGCAACTGTGTCACATGAGAAGACAGCTAGAAGTATTGCACGTCTTTGTTTTGCTATTACATGTTATCTAGCGCTTGTGTGAATTAGTGTCCTCTAATGCACTGCTTTAAAACTGTTCGTCATCACTATATTTGTCCTCTGCACAGAATACTTTGAATATTTTGCTCCAGACTTCACACTTCACCCAGATGTCAGCACAAGGATAGAAAACCAAAATTCTAGACAAGTATGCGTTATTTTCCTCACAATATACTGTTTTTTTTGTCTACAAATCTGACAGTACATTTGTGTCCGCATGTACACATTCAAAACCTCTTTAAAACCTGGAAATAACAAGTTGAGGATCTTGAAAAATGGAAAACCAAGAAGTGCTGCGTAATGAAAAATCAATTAGAAATGCTTGAGATTCAGATGCAGCACAAGATGCTCTCTTGAACTTAAAGTTATAGTTTTAAAAAGTGTAAAATTGAAACATTATCAAAATATAACACTTCTGATTTTATACGAAAAAGTGAAAGTAATTATAGTGTATTATATGTGACCCTGGACCACAAAACCAGTCATAAGTGTCAATTTTTCAAAATTGAGGTTTGTACGTCATCATGAATAATCTTTCCATTGATGTATGGTTTGTTATGATAGGACAATATTTGGTCGAGATACAACTATTTGAAAATCTGGAATCTGAGGGTGCAAAAAAATCTAAATATTGAGAAAATCATCTTTAAAGTTGTCCAAATGAAGTTCTTAGCAATGCATATTACTAATCAAAAATTAAGTTTTGATATATTTACAGCAGGACATTTACTAAATATCTTCATGGAACATGATCTTTACTTAATATCCTAATGATTTTTGGCATAAAAGAAAAATCTATAATTTTGACCCATACAATGTATTGTTGGCTATTGCTACAAATATACCCCAGCGACTTAAGACTGGTTTTGTGCTCCAGGGTCACATATTTCTTAAGGTTTGAATTCGTTGAAATTGGTGTTCAGTGCCCCGTCATCACTCAGCTGTAACCAATACATGACCTGGTTTTTCTAGTATTTGGAGCAGATTCGTCAAACAGTGTTTGAGAGCCTGAAGATGTTAAATCACGCTCCAAGTGTTCAGATCCACGACGTTCCCTCTGATTTGCTGAGCTACGAGCGACCAGACGAGGCCGATCCTGATGAGCGAGGATCAGAAGACAACTTCTCTAGGTGACTGTAACACTAGTGTTTACAAATTTGGGCTCTATAAGATTTACAAAAAAAAAAGTTTTTTAATGAAGTCTCCTCTTCTCATCAAGGCTGCATTTATTCGATCAAAAATAGTCAAATCCATAATATTGTGAAATATATTTGTTAAAGTACCCCTATTATGCCATTTTGAAGGTTCCTAGTATTGTTCCAAACAACACGTACGTTTTCTCAAAATATGCATTTATTATCACCTAATTTTCCAACTATTCTCAAATGATTCGTTCGAAGCAGTTCTGAGATTCAGTCTCTCTAAACCCCGCCTTTCCGTGAGCCTGCTCTGCTCTGATTGGTCAGATGGCCCAGTCTGTTGTGATTGGTCTAATGCGAGCTCCACGAGATTAGAGATCAGTCGTCAGTAAAATGACGTGTTTGTGGGCGGGGTCAAGTTGTTTGTGGCCAGCCAATGCAGAATAGAGGCGGGCATTATGCAAATGTGTTACCCAGTGACGTGTAGCCATCATGGAAGTGGGATTTGAATTACTAACGACTTGTTTCGGCTGTTCAGAGTCGATTCTAAACTTCATTTATCATGCACTTTCAGCTTTACAACTTTGCAGATCATTTACAGATCATTTACTGAATGAAAGGCAATATTCGACATGGCATAATAGGGGCACTTTAAAATAAGTGTTTTCTATGTGGATATATTGTAAAATGTAATTTATTTCTGTGATGCACAGCTGAATTTTCAGCATCATTACTCCAGTCTTCAGTGTCACATGATCTTCAGAAATCACTCTAATATGCTGAATCAATGTTGATTATTATTATTATCAAAGAGGCACAAAATCACTTTCACAGACGTTTACCTTAACTGTTCGCTGCTGGTGGAGTCTTTAGCCATCTTCAAGAAACGCTAAAGACACGTCTCTTCCATCTACACTTGCACTCTATTCTATTTCTATTCTACAGTTGTGCTCAAAAGTTTGCATACCCTTGGAGTATTGATAATATATGTACCATTTTTAAAGAAAACATGAGCGAGCAGGCAAAACACATTTCTTTTATTTCTTATGCATTTTAAAATTCAGATGTAAGTTATAACAAAATGACACAATCATAAAACAAAACATAGCAACAAAGAAAAAATGAAACAACCCCTGGCCAAAAGTCTGCACACCCTTAGTTCTCATTACAGTGTATTGCCCCCTTTAGCATCAATGACAGCGTCTAGTCTTTTTGTAATAGTTGTCTATGAGGCCCCAAATTCTTGCAGGTGGTATAGCTGCTTATTCAGCTTGGCAAAATGCCTCCAGGTCATACAAAGTCTTTGAGATCTCCCCAGAGCGGCTCGATCATATGAAGCCTTTTTCTGCTGTAACCACTGGAGGATAGGGTCATTCTCATGCTGGAAAATCCAAGACCATCCCATGCACAGCTTTCCAGCAGAAGAATGCAAATTGGCTGCCAGTATTTTCTGATAACATGCTGCATTCATCTTGCCATCAATTTTCACAAGATTCCCCAAGCCTTTAGAGCTCACACGAGTGAGCCACCACCATAGGCCTTGTTGACCCCTCTCCAAATATAGCACTTATGGTTGACCAGAAAGCTCTATTTTGGTCTCGTCACTCCAGATTACAGTGTGCCAGAAGCTGTGAGTTAAGGTGTTGTAACCAGGCTTTTTTTGTGGCATCTCGACCATGCAGCTCATTTTTGTTCAAGTATTGTCATATTTTTGCTCCCTGAAACAACCACGCCGTCTTTTTCCAGAGCAGCCTGTATTTCTCCCTGGCATTTTCAAGGCTTTGGATATCTTTTTATATCCTTTTCCATCTCTATAAAGTTCCATGACCTTGTTGCACAGGTCTTTTGACTCTTCTCTTCTGCTCAGTATCTGCTCGGTGGATCCACATGAGAGCTAACGAACTCATCGACTGTTTAAACACAGACACTAATTGTAATTTAAAGAGCCATAGGTGTGTCAGATTAAACTTGGATTGCCATTTAAACCTGTGCGTGTCACCGTGTGTGTCTGTAACAAATCCAATCATTCAAGGATGTGTAAACTTTTGATCAGGGTCATTTGGATGATCTCTGTTATCATTCTGAAAAGGAGCCAAACATGTGATAATAAATGGCTTCATATAATCACTATCCTTAAATAAAAGTTTTTTACATGATCAGTCATATTTTCAAAATCAATTTCACAATTTTTGCCAGGGTATACAAACTTGTTTTCTTTTTAATTATTATAAAATAATAATAATAACTCGACCCTCTAATAACAAGTTATTATTATAATAACTCTAATAATAACTTGATCATTACTGTGCTTTACCGATAGAGAAGAGATGTCAAGAGCTTGGCTGAATATTGATTATCCTGATCTGACCAGCTGCTTCTGTTTCATCACAGGCCTGAAGCTGTGAATGAGTTTTACGATGGTGACCATGATAATGATAAAGAAAGTGATGTGGAGATCTGAAGATCCTCTCGTGTCCCATCTCTTGTGTGACTTTGGTCTTCAGCCATAGATCTGTCCATTCCTTGCCACATCTATAGTACTTATAACTGCATTGTGATGAGTGAGTGGATCTTCTCTTTCTTTACATGCACTGTATCTGTGTAGTGTGCCATGTGTACAACATTTTATTGTCACGACTGTATTTTCCGTTTATCAAAGCGCAGCTGTAAAAGGGAGCGTCACACCGAGTCCTGTGTACTAATACAGCATTAGTACCGAAAAGGTTCAGAAACCATGTGATGAAGGATGGCGTTGTATTGTATGCCTAATATCCACATGGTTATGATTAACAGAATATTTTTGTCTTGGCTTTTTCATAAGTTGTTTATAGAATGTTTCTGTAATAAATCTTTTGCAAAAGAGCCTTTCTAACTACTTAAACGTCCATCTACACAGTCTAATCCAATGCTGTTGGTTGATTTAGTTCTTTGGCAGGTTTTTGATATATTTGATATTGTCATGTGAGAGTGTGTCATGACAGAGAAAAATACTTAGAGATAAATCTGTAGTGTTTTCACAAAGATCTTTACTCAAATGATCATCATATTTAACACATGACATCTGTGTTCAGGACTGTAATCAATACATTTGACCAAATTCTTTGTACTAGTAGCAAAAATTCCAACAAATATCATCTTCAGTACATATAAGGTCATGTATTTTCCGAGTGTATCAGTGAAGACACTGCACACATATTGAGCTTCCACAGTGCATACAGCAATCAAAGCATTAGTCTAGTTTATGCAAAACTGACAAACTAAGATACATTTTTTTTCTCTTGTACTGGGTGTCATAAATATGCAGCTTTACATGAGACTGGTTATCCATTTCCAACCAAATCAACCATGAGAGCGTGTTGATTCTGCTGGAATGGCAAACATCAGCGGTACTGGCTAAACTGCTTAACTGGCTCATTTACAGAGAAATATACTACATAAATACTGCATAATAATATCAGATGTCGACATGAAAGCTGCATGACTCAGACGAGTGTCTACAGTTCTTCGCTCTCATATAGTGGGGCGGTGTGATGAGGAACGGGCTCTGTGCTCAGTGTGGAAAACTGGCTCAAGATGGGAAGACTCTTCAGCATCCTGACTGGAGGGGTAGACTTATTCAGTCGAGCTATAAGAAAACGGCATTCTTATTCAAGGCAGAGAGGCAAATTCGGGTTAACAGAAAATAACTCAATAATTGTGTAGCAACTAAAGACATTTAAAACTCATTTGTGTACACTACAACAGGACTGTAAAAAAAAAAAAAAAGTAAAAAATGGGGGAAAAGAAATCATTTACTGCACCTTCCTACACTATGTATCAATATAAAGATGGAGTTCATTTTATAATGCAACATGCCTAAACACAAGTTTTGGAAAAAAAAAATAAGCAGAATAAGCAAAGTCTAAACAATTTTCAAACATATACTAAGCAAAGTAAACAGTAAGTGCACTTACTGCCCACGTCTAGCCTGGAGTTGCATGTGGACATGCCTGCTTCATTAATGGCAGATACAGTGTACCAGCCCGCATCAGACTTTATCACTGGATCAATGACCAAACACTGCTTTCCTGAACCGTCCTGAGAAAGACTGACACACCAAACATGCAAACGTCACGGGGACATGCAAACATCTACAACGACTACATCAATATAACTCATCTAGCAAAGAAAAGATTTACTGTAAACAACTGTCCAAGACAATAATGTGTTAAATCAGTTTTTAAAAAGTTCATGGAAGAATCTATCTAAAGTATTATTACCATGGACATTTCTGCAACTAAAATCTATGGGAATGTGTTTTTTAAAGCTCAGTTCTTCAGAGACCATGTTACCTGACCATTCTCGCCCTGTTGTTTTTATTTTATTTATTTTTTTCTGTGTGTTATTTCATTAAATACATTTTTTCTGAATATATATTTTAGTGCTCTGGACGAGTAAAAAAAAATTGTATCTGAAAGTTTGTAGACTGTAAGGTCTAAATCAGACTATTTCATATAGGAAATTTCTGTGAAATAACCATTTTTGATTGAATTTTCCTCTTGGACTTGGACTTTTGTTATGGTGCCTTGTTTTTCTTCATACGTAATAGGATCTAGGACATTCAACAAAATAACTTTATAATGTAAAACAGCTAAAAAAAATAAACTTTTGTGCTCCACAGGACAAGAAAGGAAAGTAAACGATGAATCTTTGTTTTTGTATGAATTATTCCTTTCTGCAACTGTCTTTAAACACAAAAATGGACCAAATTTGTCATTTAAGTGTATAAAAAGTCTAAAATATTTTATCTTCATATCTTGAATAATATGTAATATCGCTCCAGTTACTAACAGAACCTTGGTTCCCTGAGATAACGGGAATGAACATTGTGTGATACACTATGGGGTAACTCCTGTTTACTGAATACTGAAGCCTGATTTGTTTACTTACGTGTAGCTGCACGAACAAAAATGGCATTTCAGCCCTTCAGAGCAGACTGCCTATATAAGTCGGCTCTGAATGCCATTCCATCAGAATCTTTTGACTGATAAGCGACAGTCATCAAATCGTGTATCTTTATAGCATGGCTCAGGGAACCGAGGTTACATTAGTAACCAGAGCATTCCCTTTCAAAACGAGCTCTCACGTTGCGTGAAACACTAATGCATACTGCGTTCAATAGCGCCATGCTAAAAAAGCACAAAATCCTCTGTGTTCAGAAGAGCTAGAAGGGTAATAACCTGTTCTCTGAATGGAGTGGAGAGCACCTTAGGCAAATAGCCATGTCTTGGTTTGAGGATGACTTTACAGTCGCTAGACCCAAACTCAAGGCAAGAAGCGCTGACTGAAAGTGCTTGCAGATTGCTCACTCGCTTGACCAATGCTAAAGCCAATGGTTGAGCGGTCTTAAGTGACAGGGGCCATGAGTCAGCCGACTTCGAGCGGCTCAAATGGAGGACCTCGAAGGCCCCTGAGGACCGTGGGCACGTCACATGAGGGTGGGTCCTCATTCCGGACTGCACACCAGTCAGAGAACACTGACCACTTGAGGGCTTAGAGGAGTCTCGTAGACGGGACTCTAGCCTTCGAAATGGTGTTAGCTATCCCCCGTGGAGAGCTGTAAAGACTCCCGTCGAGGGGCCAAACATGAAGGCTACACAGCTCGGGCTGGGGATGCCGAATCATCCCTCTTGCTTGGGAGAGGAGGTCCTTCCTCAACGGAATCGGCCAGGGGGCTGCCGACAGCAGCTGTATCAACTCGGGGAAGAGCAGGAGAACCAAGCATCCCACCTCCCTCACTCATCTGATGACCTGAGGGAGCCAGTCGTGAGCCAGAGCATCTCGCTCCTTCGAGAAAAATGTTGGGCCGTGAGAGTTGTCTTCTGAGGCGAAGAGGTTTACCTCTGCCCAACCAAAGGCATTCCAAATCACCTGAATCACTTAGGGGTGTATACTCCATTCCCCTGGAGACACATTGCCCTGGCACATCATATCCGCTCCTTGGTTCAGTTTGCCCGACATGTGAACTGCCCTCAGTGAGCACAGGTTGCACTGTGCCCATAAAAGGAGGTGTCTTGCCATCCTCTATAGGGACTGTGACCTGAGACCACCCTGGTGATTTATAAAGGCTACCACTCTCATGTTATCTGAACGGACGAGGACACAGTGCCCCCATAAGGCTGGCAGGAACGTTTTTAGGGCCAGTAAAACCACCATAATTTTGAGGCAGTTGATATGTAGGTGTTGCTTCACACTGGACCAGGAGCCAAATGCCAGTCTGCCCTTGCACAGTGCTCCCTAACCGGAGTTGGAGGCATCGGTCATGACAACCTTCCATCTGGAGGTCAGTCCCAATTGGACGCCTTCCTGGTACAGGTGAGGGGACTATCAAGGGACCACAGCTCTGATGCAGTGGTGGTTCACCTTGAGGCAAAGGTGTCCCAGACATCAAGCGTGGGACAGTACGCTGGCTTTGAGCCAAAATTGGAGGAGCTGCATATGAAGCAAGCCCAGCGGAATCACAGAGGAGGCGGATGACATTTCCTGTCCCTTGGAAAGCGACCCGCTGGGCTAAACTGATTTTGAGCCCAAGGTGCTCCAGGTGGCTGAGCAGCAATGACTTGTGAGTGAGGAGTTTGCACTCCAACCTGGCTAACACTATGCCAGTAGTCAAGGTAATTCATGATGCGGATTCCCATCTGCCTCAGCGGGGAGAGAACCACGTCCACGCACTTTGTAAAAGTGCACAGGGCCAGAGAGCGTTCGAAAGGCAGTACTGTATTTTGAAAAACCACTCCCTCAAACGCAAATCTCAAGAATGGTCTGTGATGAGAGGCTATCTGGTTATGAATGTAAGCATCTTCCAGATCCATCGATAAAAACCAGTCCCCTGGGCATACTTGCGTGAGGATATGTTTCAAAGTTAACATTCTGAACAGGCGTCTCATTAGGGCACGGTTCAGGTGTCTGAGATTGAGGATGGGCCCTGAGCCCACCATGTTTCTTGAAAACGAGAAAGTAGCGGCTGTAAAAACCTGACTTGATGTTCGCTTGCGGAACGGACTTCACGGCACCTTTTGCAAGCAGACTCTGTTCTTTGGATCGGAGGACATGTGCATCGTTGTACTGTACCAAAGTTTGAATAGCACCTCTGAAACGAGGGGTTTTCAAGTGAATTGGAGTGAGTAACCTGGCCGGGCAGCAAGTGGTCTGAGTTTTTTTGAGTGTCAGATCACTGTGTGAAGGCAGGGGACTGACATTTGAGCTGTCGTGTAGAGGAGAAGTGCTCTTTTGAGTTAGTGGGTTTGCTATCACAGTGGTAATTTGCTTGAGCACATGCTGAGTGGGTAGGATGGGCCCAGCACTGACAGAGCTTCCATTGCCCAGAGCTGAACAGGGGACTGGAGAGCAAGTGCGAGACTTCTTTGTTAACCCTCTCCTCTTCCTCTCTGTTTTGAGATAGGGACGGCTTTTGCGGCTCAGGGTCCAACGTCACTTTGGGGCAGGGGCCCTGGTACTTAGGAAAGGGGACGCGTTTAGCCATCTGAGGGCGCTGTCAGAGCTCAGGCTCTGTTTTGGGCTGAGGCTGAGCGGGAGACGGAGCAGGCTTCACAGGCTGTTGGGATGATGGAGCCTTCTGGTAACTTGAAACAGCTGCCAAGCTGGAGCGCTTGGGGAGAACGACCTGCAACGACTTCTTGCGAATTCATCAATGGCAGGGGCGAGTAACTCCATGGGGGAGACTGGGGAGTCGAGGAAGGTGACTTTGTCCTCGTCCTTGATCTCTGTGAGATTCAGCCAAAGGTGGCACTCGAGCACCACCAAGTTGGCCATGGCTTTGCTTATCACAGTTGCACTACGCAGCTCTTTAAAGGCATCGGAACTCGGGCCAGACTCGTTCATGGCACAAGTCAGTGGGAGAAGTGCACCGGTTAGTCATATTGCTGTGGGAAGAGTGAAGTACTTGGGACCTGTGCTGGCGTGAGATCACTCGAGACTGCCTGCTCAGTACCCTGACTCCTCTGTTTCTTCCTCGAGTTCCCTTTGAGGCAAGAAACGGCAGAGTGGTAGGGGTGGGGCTGCCCTCATGAAAGAAGGCAATCCGTAAGTGAAGAGATGAGACTCATGATCTCGCAGTGAGAGCAGTCTGTCTCAGTAAGTGCAGCCTCAGTGTAAGAACAGCCCAGGCAAGCGACGCACTCACTGTGCCTGTCTGAAGCGTGCAGGGGTGCTCTGCACGAGCCATGCTCGTGGCGTGACATTTGAAGCAACGGTGTGAAATTTGCTCTAGGAAATTATCTCTCAAGTTTGCCAGATGGCTGCAGGGGAGAAGCGATGAAGAGTATAGTCTTTCCTCTGCCGGGGCTCTCCATTCTTCTTCTTCTTCAGAGTCCAGTGAGGAGATGATATTCGCGCTGAAGGAGAAAATGCTGATGAAATGGCATTTGGCGGTAACTTATATAGGCAGTCGGCTCTGCCCGTTTTGGCGGCCTGAAATGCCATTTTTTCGTTCAGCTACACAAACGTTAACAAATCAGGTTTCATTATTCAGTGTAAACAGGAGTGTCCCCATAAGCGTTTCATGCAACGTGACAGACGGTTTCGAAAGGGAGCTAAATATATAGTCTATATTGAAAACATTTTGCATCCACACATAAAGTGAAAAAAATTATGTCAGACCTCATTCTCATGGGGTCGATTCGCAGCATTTCCTTGTCTTTCTTCCAGTAGAGCTGAGGTGTTGGAGATGCCGCCACCTTACACTCTAACCGCACAGCATCACCCTCAAGAACCCGAGAATTCCTCATCTTCACCACAAATGTGGGAGGACACAACTGCTCCTGAGCTGAGGACATACGGAGAAGAATTACATTCACTTCAGAGTCATTGTGTCATATATTGAACAGAGGTGCCTTGATACAACATTACTAGCCTGAATAAAAATGTCACTTGGCCATCAGTCGATACTCAGAAATTTCAATTTGAGCTCATGTATGAATGAATTCAAATGACATTACTTTTTTAGAAACCTGCAATAGATGCATGTTCAGCACAGAGTGGCTCTCTCACATCCCTGGTAATGAATCATCTGAAGCAATATATTGTTAGAAAAGTACATCTATTTGGTCTACAAAAACTTTTCACAAAATATGACTTTGTTTCTTTTTGAACAGTGCATAAGGATCATTCCTATACGGTATATTTTAATGTCCTCAACATATGTGTCTTGTGACCCTTTAGCCAACAAAAGTCAGTTTCACAATGATCTCATCATGCAGGAAGGATGGAAAGGAGGCCACAGAACGAATATACATAAAAATACTGTTTCTGCTCATTACTAGTCTTGATGAAAAATTGTGTTTCAAATCCCTAGTTAAAAAGTTGACCATCCCCAAATCCATGACTCCATGTACAATGCAGCAACGGTCACTCAAATCTATCAACAACCCCACCATATCCTGTATTAGGAATTTACAAATTCAAGTCTTTTTACATCTAAATACACATTTAAAGTGATTGCTCTCTCAGTTCCAAAGTAGCCTGAACAGAGATGACTTTAATAAAATGCTTTGAACTTGTAAAGCTTCCAAAAACGTCAAGCTCCGTTGATATTGTTATAGTGGCGGCGGCATATGATGGCAGCTTCAGATATGCAGTTTTGTTGCATTAGATAAAACTGGTTATTTTGTATTATTCATGTGAAAAAACAAATCATAATCGAAGTGATCAAAACATCCATCATATCATCATAATATAAGGGCAGGAAACAGCTTGCCTTGCTAAAGTATTTATGCCCTTTCATTTTTCTTTCTCATTTTGTCATGTTGCAACCTTCTTATTCTCAACATTATACAGGCAACAAAAAGCTGCTCACCAATCACATCCAGGCGCAGAGAGAAGTGGCTCTCTCCGGCACGGTTCTTCGCTACACATTCATATACACCTGCATGATGAATGGTCACGACTTCAATAATGAAGGAGTGGACGCTTTTCTCACACACCAGCATCTTATGGTAATCATCAGGTCGGATGAGTTGCCCATCCAGATACCAAGAAATATCTGGTGTTGGCAAACCTACAACCTGCAGAAAAAAAAAGAAAGAAAAGCAAAACTTTAAAAAAGCTAAATGTTGGTTTGTACAGATTTAACTATTGTATTTCTGTAAAAAAAGAAACAAAACGGTTCAACTGTAGACTCTGTTAGACTCCTCCTAACTTTGCTGTGTGTGTGATATTTCATCTTAAGAAGGCCAGAAGCATTGGAGTAATATGTTGTGGTAAAACAAATGCATACAGGATGTTTTATATCAATAAATGATAACTGCCTTAAAATCAATCCTGCAGAATCGTCCCTCTTCAACAGTAAGATCTTGCGGCACTTGTATAAAACGAGGAGCAAAACACTTCTCTTGGATGGTTGATGCCTCTGCACTGTCCCCTCCGGGACGATTCTTTCTGGACCTGCGCAAGAAAAGGTGGTAATTAACCGAATTCAACCAAACTAACTCAATAATCAAAGCTAAGCTTATCCAGACAAACCGCAGTCATACAGTAAACACAGGCAGGGCTCAGAGCATTAGACAATCAGCTACAACAAGTACAATGTGTCTGTCTTAGACTGCGCCAGAAAAATCATTCAGTGTTTGACACATTCACTAATGTCAGCCAGTGTTCAATTATTAACTCCAAAAAGTGTCAGAAGTGTTAGGTGTACATGCACAATAATAAGATGAAAGCACTTCAGAGACAAACTCCAAACTGATACTCCTATTGCAAAATGACATTTACCATATTCCTCCAGGCTGGAGACCTTCTGGAGAGCCTGGCTGTTAGAATAGTGCATAACATTTGCTTGAATAACATAAAAAAAACATGATAGACAAACTAAAGGAACTGAGGCCTTGGTGTATTCACATGTGGTGGTATTATAATAATAGCATAATGATGAATAGGATAGCTGAAGAGCACATGGATTTTACTCATGCTATTTTAGGCCCAAGGAGAGACTGTTATCTGTTTGGTCTGGCTTTGAATATTTCTGTTGAAGACAACTAGAGTGATGGTAACAAATGGGAATAAAGCATAGTTGACACTCTTTGAGTACCAGGGTGTTTTTAGTTTTACTTGTGGCATTGCTGAAGTATGATATACTATTATATAACATTAATTCTCTATACACTCTAAAAAATGCTGGGTTAAATACAACCCAGTGCTGGGTAAAATAGGGACAAACCCAGCAATTGGG